GTGTTAGCTACTGTCTTGAAACGAAATTGTATATCACAGTTTGCAATACAATTAGAGGGGAAAATCGATCAATCACTGTTTTTTCCATTACAAAGTAATGACAATGTCATATCAAATAACATTGATAAGCGTGATAATGCACATTAAAAATGTCTATGATCGAAGCAAAACCGAAAATAGATTTCATAATAGTTCCCATGAACTACACCTGTTTTCGAAGTGGACGGTTATTTATTTAAAATAGATAAATCTTGGTGTGTGCTGACGGTATTTTTGCATTATATGGTTAAAATATGGCATCCACTTAAATATTAACCAATACGGTAATTACTCCGTTTGCTGTTGATCAATTTATGCAGCAAAATATCACATTTATGCACTGACCGTTCAACAAGTGTAGCGCGAGCGCATATGCATGAATTGAATTGTGGTTTTAATCGGCTGTCACTTTAATAGCCAATAGATCACATCTCTTGTACATAATCATATGAGCCTGCAAAATGGATGGAATGAAAACATTTGATTGAAATTCGATATAGTAAGCAGTTCTAATCGCGTTATCTAAAATTGCGTTTAAACAGTAGCCCATAGAGTGTTGTGATAGAGGTGTTCGGGATGGTTTGAATTTATATTGTACATGTATAAAATGATGAGTATCTCTTTCGTCGATAAAAAAAGGCAAAGAAAAAAATAACAACGGTTTGAGTATGTGCATCACGATTATCGAGTAATAAAAATTGTGAGAATATCGACTAACATTTTCTCTCTGTACTTCGATGCTTTGTTCCCTCTCTCCTATCTCTGTTCAAAGACATTTCATTTAGGCGATTCCCACGCGTGTTAATCCCGACAACGAAAAATAATGCTATATTCTACAAGTTTTCTCTATTTTTTTATTGGCGCTTATCATTGCATTTATGATCTTTTATTCCACAGCGTTTTTTTTTTGTTTCTGTTATTGTGGTTCAGGCATGTTCAAAAACATACAGGGTGAGAAAAAGAGAGGTTGAGAGGGAAAGAGGGACAGACAGATTGCGAGAGAGGGAAATAGAAAGAAATGGGGATAGGAGAACAAGCGAAAAAAGGAGAGATAGAATAGTATAGTATGTCGAAATGATTTTCCGTTTGAAAAGAGCGATGCGCGATTCTATGCAGATATAGGCAAGAGTCGATAGATTTATGGACTCTATAGGCGCGCTGGATATATATGGTCATGGTCATACACATGGCTTTAGGTGTTGAACACAAAAAAGAACGCCATATACCAAGTGAAAAAAAAAAGAATCGCGCGCGCACGCACACAAACACACATACACAAAATTACATGGTGTGAAAATGCATTAATTTGCACAAATGATTTTGATGAAATCTCACTTATAAAGACATAACAAAATGCAAAACTGACTAGTTCGCTCACTATGCGCTCATTGCTCTTGACATGAGATGCAGTTATTTCTTCGTAGTGATTTCTCTCTCTCTCTCTCGCCCTCTCTCGCTGACTCTCTTTTCACTCAAAAGTGAACAGCTACGCGCTATGGCCTGCATATCGAATAAACTTGTTCTTGTTGCAACAGAAACACATGCAAATATGGTGAAGACTTTGGCTGTTCCGATATAGATATTATGGATGGGAAGAAAAAGAAGAAAAACAACACCTTTCTCACTCCATAAAAGCAACAGCAAATGATGCCGTAAAATGTATTTACTCCTGAATGCAACATAGTTTTGTTGCTTTTGCTGTTGTTATCATCATATTGTTTTGAGAATACCGTTATTTCCTCATATCAATCGAGTTATTATTTTACGTTGCACTAGTATACGTTTCAATGATATTCACGTATATTTAAATTCAAGCGATTTTTCAATGCTATGTTTGTGGATTGGGTTACCAACACTTTTCAAACATAATCAAATTTAAACACTATTATTTATAGAGCATTTTAATCGTGTTAAATATTCAAATGGATACGCTACTACTAACATTAAAAACCCATTTGTTTCACTAATGAAAAATCAGTCCGCATTAAATTGAATAATATTCACTTATACCACTTTTCATTTTATTCATGCAGACACAATGCCACGATTTTGATTGAAACGTTAATATCAATGACAGTCTTGCTATCGCTCTCTCATACACACACTCTCTATCATCGCACAAATAAATTCGATTATAATATACTATGGCATATTGATTGATATAGAATGGATGCAACAAATGCTTTGCTTCATTGGATATTCTGACCAACAAAAGCACGGGTGTCGTACGGTTTTTCAATTTTTATCGCACACACATTTATGTTCATGAAGTAGAATATTCAATCGAGCCGAGCGTATCTCTCTATTAAAAGCGACAAAACTTCGATCAACACTTTTTTTTTTATCTCAAAATGGAAATTTCATATTGGAAATATCGAGTGATTCATTTTGATTGCTCTTCTTCTTTGGAGCGATACCCACTCTTCATTTTTCTACAAAGTATTAATTTCTATGCTATTTTTTTTGTTCATCGTAACAAAATTATTGGGTGTGATCAAGTATTATAGAAAAGTATGGTGATGTTACAGAAGAAGAAGAATATACAGGAAATTTTCCATATCATTCAGTGAATCATTCTTCGAATGTTAAATATCAATGTCAAAAAGACTGACAAGTTCTTTATAATTGCAAATTTTCCAATTTGGAACTTCCAACCCGTTTACAAAAAAAGTGACTGACTATTTTGGGACAAACTGACTGACTATTGACTGTAAAAACAAGCAACCTTAGTTAAATTTAGTTAACTTCAATCAATTAAAGTAAGCTATGGTTAACTGCAACAGCTAACTTTAGTTGACAATAATCATAGTCACCCGATAGTCAAAACGTCCCAAAATAATCGCCTGACTGACTGAGTAACTATAGTCGATTGTTTTCCATACAAAATTTTAAAATTCAAGAATATAGCTAACTATAGTCACTTACAGTCAATAGTAACTTAGTCACTTTTTTCTACTCGGGAAACTGCTCTTCTTTACATTTCATCTGTCAATTTGAGACCACTATATTTTGCAAATAAATTTTGTAGTATTTGTATCTGCTTTTATAGTAAGTAAATGTCAATTTAACGACCAAAATATGATACGAGATAAGATATGAGATTAAAACTATTAAAAATAGAATCTTTTCCTGATTCAATGATAAAAAATTTTTTATTGGTGTCTATTTTATTATAATGTTGACTTGATTTCTCTTGATTTTTGAACATCCCGAAAATATCAAAAATATTGAATTCCGGTCATATTTGTTCAAAAAAAACTGCGAATTTAATAATGAGTCAAGGATTAGAAATATTTTCTGTTTTTCTTCATTATTTTATAATTGGAGCAATTAGTATTTTATAATTAGTTGAAAATATATTTTTTCAAGTTTGTATAAAAAAATATGTAATTCATATTACAATGGACATTCGTATCTCCCATCAACAAAAATACATAGTTTTAATTTCCCTCGGCAATTGCAGTTATAAGGGTATTTTGAATCACAACTTCCCGTTGTATATGTTCCAGATTTAGTGCAAAAATTTCTACACATCGTATTTCTGCTGTCTAACGGCAAGTTTTGATCATTACACTTTGGAAATTTAAAAGGAGCTATCACTGTTTCTTGGGCTGCAAAAATTCATAAAAAAGCACACGTTGACTAAAATAATTAAATGTTTCGTTTAAATTCCACTTTTTACATTTGAAATTTAAGATATTATGAATTGTTCTTTCTAAAAAAAAAATATTATGATTTCAAGAAACTTTACCTAACGCTTCAATAGACAAAGCCATCACGATAAAGGCAACGAAAACTGGCAGCACTTTGATATTCATTGTTAAAATGTGTTAAATTCGACTTTGCAATGGATAATATCGTATTTGCGTCTACTTTTATAGACACGAATGGCTGTCAGATCGCAAAAATGAGATAACAGAATCTTACATTCATAAGACTAACTTTTTCGCACATCTTCCAAATGTCTTCTTCTTCCCGTGTGCAAAAGAAGTGACTGACTGATGACTGGTTGACTGAAATACAATGAAAGTGAATTTTATAAACTGTAGCCGTTTAATGAGTTGACTAAATTCGTCTATTCATCCGATTTCAAACAGACGGTTATTTTAGGATGTTAGATATTAAGTCAAAAACGTGCCAAATTAGGTAACTGACAGTAATTTTGCACACGGGTACTGAATGAAGAAAATTAGATATGTTGATAAATAACCTCATGACATCAAGAAGCACATTTAGTGATAAGTCAACTTGCGAAATCACAATAATACAAAACACATGTACATTTCTATTTCGTGCTCTACTGCGGCATTCAAAACAATGTGTTTATTGCTTTACGAAATAAATATAAAAGGTTCACGATAAAAATGAGCTCACTTCAATGTCGATCAGGCATATCTGTCATACAAAAATTCAAATTGTTGTCCATTCATTCAAAAGCTGTATCCGTGTGCACGAAAAAATTATTACAAAATATGTCGAAATCACGAATTGAGAGATTATACCATTTATACGAACGTCATTGTGTTTTTGATTATAAACTATGACACATTCTCATTCAATTCATTTGAAAGTATGGAATGGCTGGGCAGACAGGGAGGGATGAGGAGAAATTATCCCTCTCTCATCAAATTTTCGCATTACCTCTTTATAAAATTCACGATATGGGATAGAATTTTTCTCATTTTGCTAGGATTTTACCCCCCTCCCTCCCTTATTTCCCGAAAATACTTTTTCCTGGATGAACATTTTCCGGTGTACTAAGAACTTTATAGATTTTTAATTATGATTACGCGTAGAAAAACACTTTTTTTGTGGTCATTTTAGAATATTGGGATGATTACAATGCTTTACTACACAGGGCGGTGCGTGAGGAAAAGTAATAAAAAATGAGCGGGGATTTTTTTTAAGTTATCACAAATGATCCATTTAATTAGTTAATAGTATAATTTGCTTTTAATCGCTTTACATTGTGAAAAAGTGAATCTTTATTTAATTTTAAATTGACATTTCATAGGATTCGTTTGAGCTCAAAGTGTTTTCAAGTGCATTATTGGAGTGTCCTTCTGATTTATCATTGAAAACACTAAATATATGTTTCAATTTTATATACATGTCCAGCTCCCGCCGACATTGGTAATGGTACATTTTTTATACTTTGTTTGGCAAACGCAATTGTAAGGGTATGCCACATTACATGCTCCGGATAGATATGCACCCGTATCTTGGCAAAATTTTATACACATTAAATTTCTGCTTGTTGGTGGCAGATTCAGGTTATCGCACATTGGAACTTTAAATGGAACAGTCCATGAATCTTGAGCTGTAAATATATTAAATAGAAAGCACCAGTGACCGGTTCGCGCATATTTCTATGCTTGCCTAAATACGCTAGGTAGCATAGATATGCCAAGCATAGCCGCAAACGCAACCGACGCATCGCCGTTCACTCTATATGAACAATGCACATGTTCGTTTATGCAGACGACCGTGCGCATACAATATAGCTCGAATCGAATGGCGACGGGTGAGTTGCGGCTTGCGCCTCCGCTATGCTTAGCATAGCTATCAGGCATTGAAATATGCGCGAACCGGTCACTGGAAAGCACAAAAACAAAAGTTAATTAAAGTCACAAATGGATATATAGAATTTTTATATTTGAAAATTACACAATTATTTGAATTCTCTAGAATAAATACAGCGTATGATACGGTCGCACACCAAAGTTTGTTTTTACATACATTTTTTGCTGTATTTTGTATGACGGTGTTTCGCTTTGAAATGCAACCTTTCCATACGCTGTTTTTATTCTATAGCAATCATTTGTTCTTCAATGTTAAAGAATTTTGATTTGAAAAATATTACCTAATGCTTCAGTAGAAAAAGCCACCACGATAAAGGCAACGAAAATTGGCACCACTTTCAAATTCATCGTTAAAATTGTGATCAATACCTGAGAATAGTCGACTTTGCAATGGATTCTATCATATTTGCGTCTACTTTTATAGCAAGTAATGGCATTCAGATCGCAAAAATGTGATACGGGATAAGAAGTGAGATTAAATTTAAAAAAAAAAAACATATTAGAAAAGGGGATTTTTTAAAGATAAAGATTTCAATGATCTCTTTAATTATTTTATTTGGCTTTTTATTATTCTTCATTTTAAAAAGAATAAAAAACATAGTTGAGTTCAATTTTTGTTAAAGATGATTTTATAGATTTCGGATTTGCTCAAAATATTTTTCATCTGCATTATTGGACTCTAATAATGTGATTCTTCATTCCGCATGTTGAAGTACATGAATTTCAAGACGAAAAATTATTATATTCGATCAATTAATTTGAGCTCATGAACAGAAGCAATTTGCCACTGACTCTAAGTGACCCAATGTAAAGTGAAAAGCATCCGACATATTCGAAAATTGAATATCATCGATACTTCATGCCATCTTAGTCAGTGTCTCAACATTGTCCATAGTTTATTTAATTATAATTGTATTCTACAGTGAGCATGACATAAAAATGTCAGCAATATAATGAATTTAAATTGAATTATAACAGCAGATAATCGCATCAAATGAGCAACAAAAGCGATTTCATTTCGTTACTTGGTTGCGATTCTCCGTTTTGCAAATTCAATTCAATCCTCTTCTTTTGCATTCTGTTTAAATTTCCAAGCACCCGGGCTATCATCCATATTGCAATTGGCAGAGTAGAAACAGAGGGGGATAGAAATGCGATTTTCATCGTTTTGTTTGGCTCACTTGAAAATAATATAATGAACACATTTTGCGCTGAAGCAACCAACATACTCGCCATTATAATTGGCGGCAATTGAGCACTCCTGTTAAATGGCACGGAATCATGGAATCCACACTGTGAATTGAACGGCGCCGCAAGCAGTTTTTTTTTCTTTGTCCATCGTATCTTTGCTATACAACGTGAATTGTCGATATTTAAATAAATTTGGTGGCTTTTTCCAATTTCTGCTTTACGATTTGTATTCGCGTTAACACACTCATCTCACTCTTCCGCTTTTATTTTTCTCTTTCTTGCCATATCTCTTCTTTTATATCGTTGTTAAATTCATGCAACATATAACTACAATCGAGTAGAGAGTAGATTGTTTCTTTTTTTATGTTTATTAAGTGACTCAAATTTAATGAACTCATATCAAGTGATGAGATACATAAACTGTTCTAAATATCAATGAAACAAAGAGAAATCGTCACACACACACACACACACACAAATTGTCAATAGTCCAAAAGAAAATTCCATCTCATTCTTGTTTGCATTCAAGCCCAGAAAATTTACTCGCTTTATTGGTTGAGAAAGTTCTCAAAACGAAAACACACAATTCTACGCAACTCATTTTGATCACCATCGTCATCATTTTATGATGTCAGATTTTATTAGTTTATTACATACATTTCGTTCCCATAAATACAGAAAAAAATGGCATGGATACAAACACATTGTAGAAAAATGAAATGAATAGTTTCTTTCTTGCATCGGAGAAGACGAAAGATCAAAAGATGAAAACAAAATCGTTTGCTCGAGATTTAAAATATGACATTTCCATTTTGGAGCCAAATTGAAAGAAACGATTTAACTCCATTTTTATTGAATAATTTATCTTATGAACAACGCATTTTTGAGCGATAAAAATTTAACAGCTTCCTTCGCTATATGGAGTACTTTTGTTGGTCATAATATGCAGCACCCTGAATTTAGACCGCATACAAAAATTTACTATTGAGCGAAAAAAATTGCCAAAAAATGATTGGACTTTTTTTCCATCCGAATTTGGGGTTTGTCCGTCCGAAAAACTGTTCGTTGCTCATTTGTACGGAGGGATCCATTCCTTCGGACACGAATATTCATTGTCACTTTTTATTTTGCACGTGACAGTTCATCGGGGTTAAAAGAAACCAAAAGCGGTTGATGTTGATAAAAGTAATATTGGTTGACGAGTTTCATTTTTAAAAATTGCAACAATTTAGTGGTTTGAATTTTCCCTGAAAATTTTCCGTATTACAAATCCTTTTCGACTAAATATTCATATTGCTCCAAACTTTGAGTACATTATCGCTTGGTTTTAAATATGGGAGACATTTTATGGACTTAACTGAGCATCGTAATATTTATGAGCTAGACCTTTGTGTGTTAATATTGTTCATTCGGTGCTATTGTGAAAGAGACCGATTCCGATATAAACAAAAAAAAATGTTGTCGAGTCCATTGATATTTGACATTATCTTAAGTTCGAAGAACAAAATTATATTAATAACATTCAATATCCTGTATTATCTTCTTTTTCTGAAGCATCAACACAATTGGCACACTTTTCTGTAATATTTTACATCTCTAATATTTTGCGGTGCATCATTTTTCCTTAAAAAAAATATCATCGGTTAAGAAAATGCAGAAAAGGTGATGTCCGTTGGTTTGCCGTTTCCATCGGTCTTAGCCACAGATTCTGATTTATTTCTCCGTGTTATTTTTGCGTCTTTCGCGTTCTTTTAACTTGTGTTATGTCGTTTTTTTTTAGTTTTTGCATTGCCGAAACTAATAACATTATTATGTTACTCTCCAAACCTAACCGTTTCTGTTTAAAGAGCAATATATATATAAAATTTTTGGTATATTTTCTACAATCTTTCTCTCTCGCTGAAATAAATAAACGTGTAAATAACAACAATAATAACAATCATTTGGCTGGGACAGAAAACGAGGCATGAGATAAATGCTTTGAAATGTTGACCAAAAGGATGCAGCAATGAAAGAAGGTGAAAGGGAGCGAGAGCGAGAGATGAAGCAAAGAATAAAAAAAAAGACATGAAGAAGCGAGCACAACGAACGCAATTTGGGCCACCCGTGGATATAGATTGTTACTACGTTTTGTTGTTATTAAGCGTCATACATGCACATATGATGTTGGGAAGGAAGATAGAGCCGACAAATGGCGCGTCCTTTTTTCGGCATTTTTTTTTTGCGTCGTTGATCTTGACTCTATTTCGGAACATTGTGATTCCGTGATAATCGGTATACATTGGGTAATGGTAACAATTTATCAGTCGATGGAGACGATGCAATTTGTGATCGTTCTCGATTGCGATGTTTTTGTGTATCACAATCAACGGATCCAATATAATAATTTTTTGATCGATTAAAAAGAGTGCTATTGATTGCATCACTATTTTACTCCTTTAACGGTACACCTAATTTATTTTGAGTGTATCGCGTTCAAGGCTTTCGCGTGCAGAGAATGAAAGAGCGACAAAAAGACCTAGTGTGAAATAAATGAAATTTGTGGCGCGATTAGCCGCGATTACATTTTCAATTTTTCGACCATATTAAGCCTACGGGATGAGAAAAGTTTCAACAACAAGAAAAAAAATGAAATCCAAGACAAAAAACAGAGAGAAATAAGTGTATGCGTGCGTGCGAGCGAGTAAATTGAGTGTTGGTTTGGCGAAATGTTTTTGACGCTGCCCCGAACTCATCATGTCGATTTAAAGACAGGCCAAAATCAATGTTCGTTCAGTTAAACAATTCGGTTCGTGTGTTATAAAAATGTGCCACACGCAAACAAAACAAAAACAACAACAACAAACCACAAAAATTGCCAGTGTGTGTGTGTGTGTGTGCCACTATGAAATTTACACAACACCAAAATATATATGCGGCATAAAAGCGTGACACCTTCGTGTGTTTTCTGTGCAAGCCGAGTGAGAAAAAAAAAGAAATTACACACATATTGTTCGTGGAAAATGCAATGTACGGAGGGGAAAACGAAATCAATTTGTCGGAACGAATATTTGATGACTCAATCAGATGCCACCATATCAAATTGGCATTCAATTGAATATTGTGGCCAACCATAATAATTTCCAGAGAAAATTGCAAAATTATGTGATATATTGCATGCAACACATTTGCTGATCATGTTTTCCGATGAAACCTATATAATTTTAATTGTAAACACAAAGTGTCAACGTTCGATAACTGAATTTTGGACAAATTTTGTGCAGAGACTCGATCAGCTAACCGATATCTGTTTTTGCTCTTTTGTTTTTGTCTTTGATAAAAAAAATTGAAATGTAAGCATAATTATGCAAATATCAATGTCATTTTGATTGTTATGTTGTTGAGCTTGGCTTTTTGTTTCGTGGCCCACCAAGTTGATAAAAAGAAAATAAAACTTCAAAACATTGAAATGAAAAAGAAGAAGAAGCAGAAGCGAGAAAAAAGTACAAACAACATTGTGATAATTGCAGAGAAAGTGGATATCTTAACGGAAATCTGCATTTATCGTTGAGATGAAAACAATTAAAACTACCTGACAAAATGATCTTTATTTTATTCTCTTCTAGCTGTCATTTCGAGAGACATAGTGCGGATACGCCCCGAACATAGAATTTCCGTTATGTTACGCTTGATTGGCGTATATATTATACATGTTTGCTGAGGCTGAAGCGAGCACATCGACAGCAGCAGAGATGGAAAAATAGCAAGCTACGCACATTGCAAACAATATCTTGAAAACAAAATAATAAATATGTTCCGGCGTCAGATGTGCATTTTAACGATGAATAAAAATTAACTACGACGTAAAATGGAAAATAATTGAGAAGAAAAAAGATACACAGAGCCGTCACATTATTAAATGCCAATAACTGTTTTATTTTTATGTTTCATCGACGTTTTCGGTTTGTCGTTGTTTTATTTTTATTTTTTATTTTTGTAAAAAAAGATTTTTGTGTTGTTGTTGGAGCGGCTTCTTCGGTTTTTCGGCCGATTTTCACTACGAGCGCGGGTGCGCGCGTTGCACTCATCGCTTGGCGATAAATACTTTTGCACGCATAAAATTCGATTACACATTGGATTCACTCACACTCTTTACCGTCTCCCTCTTCATCGCAAGTCTCTTTATGCGTACGCAATTTTTTTATGGATCGATA